AAAGAGACTAAAGCTGAACATGGGATCTATTGCACCTAAGCTTATTTCTTTACTTACAGGAAAATGTATAATTGTTTTCTTGAATTTATTGTTTCATCTTTAATACAGGTAGATTTTTTTTTTTGCACCCGCTACTCCTTTTAAAACATCAGTCTACAATGACAATTCTTGAATGACCTGAAATTTCTCTCTTTTTTTTTTTTGTTTCCCTGTTGCTAATTAATACCCATTAATTTCTTGTGCCAGCATTGTTTTTCAGCTTCAGTAGCTCTTCTTTCTCGCTGGAGTAATCTTGTTCAAATTTAGTCTCTGTTTTGTTGGATTATTAAGTCCATCTCTTCTTGAGTAGTCTAAGCAAACATTCCTCTGCTCTTCTTAGTATCTCTTCTGGTATCTGCTGTAGTGAGCTTATTTTTAAACTTGTACAAGAAAAGTAATTTTATACAGTATTGTTGCTGTTGTTCCGTATATGAGATTTTGGGGTAGGAACCACAGGAGGTGGGGAAAATGCTGTGAGGGATACATGGAACAGTTGAGCAGTTCTCATCAGCCCTGCTTGGACCTTTTGCTTTAATAAAATAAAAGTACATCTTAAAATTACAGAAGTGACAGCTCATGTTCTTCCCATGTACCTAGGAAACGCCTGGAAGAAGCTCCACTGATGACACAATCTTTGAGGGAGGCTCAGCTGAAGGAAAAGTTAGAGCGTTACCCAAAGGTAACCTTTATTCTTTTTCCAGTCCCTCTGGCTAGTCCAGACTTGGGGGTTGAGTAACTTTGGGGATCAATTGTGATCAATAGGATCTTGAGCTACTGAGAGGAAGATTTTTCAAATTATTGTCCCTGTTAATTGTTTGTGGGACTTGCATAACAGTTACACCATATAAAGTCAGATGGCCTGTAGTGATACAGTTGAATGGCAGGCAATATAGCTCCTTTTAGTTTGCTCCATATGTTTCAAAACCCTTATGTTGTGCACACATAGTCGGTATGACTGAGCTTTCCTATCTGCCTCTCCTCTTACATTTTGATAGTATCTCATTACAAGTTAAATTATAAGATGTTACAGACTGGAGATATCTTACTCTGTAAATACAATCCTAATGCAGTTTTTGTCTTTTGTGATTTCTTGCAAAAACATAAAAGATTAAGTTCCCAAGTTAAATGCTTTCTGACCAATGCTGGAAATAGAATGGTGTGAGTTACTTCAGATGTGTGGCGGGAGGACTTCCGCTGACATGGACACTTCAGGATACTGATCCACTGCCTGTACCTGTCCATGGGTGACTTTCTTCTTTGTGCATCGCTTAACACAGGGAGCTCCTACTCTCTGAGTAATTGCTGCTGCATTGTACATCATACTGTTTCTGTAGATCGGCTCTCAGAGTTAGAGCCTTTGAAAATCAGACAGCCCATATTCTCGGAGGAGCTGTGCAGTACTTGTTAGCCAGTATGATATTCTACCCCTGTGGAGTAAATATCTCAAATTTCCCCCATGAAAAATACCAACCAACCAACCAACTTAAAATTCTAAGCCAAGGACAGGTGTTACAGAACAGCCATAAACAATTGACCTAATGTGCTTTGCCTCTAACTTAGGTGGTGTTGAGAGTCCATTTTCCAGACCGTCATGTTCTGCAGGGGTTCTTCCATCCTAGTGACACTGGTAAGAGCAATCTCTGTCTGTTTAGCTGCAGCTAACCTCTCTCATCAGTGATCAGTTGCATGACAAAAGGGAGTGGCTCTGAACAGATCTTTCTGCTGTCCAGGGAAGTAATACTGCTCTGTAGCTAGTTACACTGTCCTTACAGGGTCCCTCAACTGGAAGAGAAAAGGGTCTGCGGTAATTAACTTAGTTAAGGGGAATTTGTTTCCAAGACTACTTGATGGAGACTGTCAGGCTACTTGATGTTGAAATATTTGTGCTCAGGAAACTGTTCCACTTGATACCCATTGTTTGTGTGCAAATGATATATTACTGAGATGAGTTTTAACACTTCCTCTGTCTTAAAGCTTAAAAACTTTGGGGAAAAAAACACCACCACCACCCCCAATCCAAAACAAAACAAAAACAGGAAGGAGAAAAAAAAGCTTTACCTACAGTAGTAAAAACAACAGGGAATGAACCTTTCTGCTGGCATCAGTTCACAAAAGGCTGTCAGACCATACACCAAGTAGCTCTTACTGTTGTTGATTGAGATCTTCTTATTCTCAGCTGGCAGTGATGGTTACTCATGCAATTTTTTTATATTTCTGTGTGGGAGAAGAACTAGTTACCAGAGTCTCACCTGGCTGGTCTCTGGAAATTTTGCAGCTGCTGTTGGAATTCCTAGGTTTTGGGATGGTTTTTATTTGTTTGTTTTTCTCCAATACATTTGTAATAGTAACAGTGTTCTTTTGAGGAAAAGGCAATCTACAGATATTGGAGAGGGCAGTTCTGCTGGTACAGGTTAGCCTTTTTGCCTGGCATCTGATGAAACAAAGGTAATCAGCAAACCTTTCTCTCCTTTTTTCACAGTTGGCATTTTGAGAGACTTTGTAAGAAGCCACCTTGCAGATGCAGACTTGCCATTTTACTTATGTGAGTGTGCTGTTGGTAATATTTGGCCTTACTTTACAAAGCCTGTTCCTAGCTGTGGTGCATATGGGATCTTGCGATGCCATGAGGTATGACCTGGAGAGGAATTCCTTGCCTCAGAGTGCAACGAAGGTGTAACCTTCTCACTTAGCCACATTAAGGCTATGTGAGCAGTGTGAATGTGTCACTCCTTTAAAGAGCAGCAATCCCTCCCATATGTGCTGTATTTATTGTTTTGGTTGCTGGGTGGTCCTGTTTTTGTAACTTGTTTTTTAACTTCAGTTATTGCACCTCCCAGAATCATCTTGAACGATGACAGTGTGACACTCTTCAAGGTAAGGACTCACATGTGTGCTTTGTGATTCTCTCTGACTTGCTGCTCCCCTTCACCCCACCATATAGAATCATAGAATGGTTTGG